GCACCGTCAAAAGGTGTGTTGTCTTCAGATTGGCCATCGTTGCCAGCACCACTCTGGCAAGCTCTGAGTCCAGCCCCGAAAGAGGCTCGTCCCATATGTTGAACTCCTTGCAGTTGAGCAGCCCTGCAATGACCATTGCCCGCTTTTGCTCTCCCCCAGACAGATTCTTGCAGAGGGTTTTCTTTGACCTTGACATTCTGAAGAGGTCCAAATAGCCATCCACGTCCTGGGAGGTTTTTCCGCAGCACGCGGCAATTGAGCAGAGAATAACATACAGCGGAATGGCTTCGTAGTTTATGGAGGCCTGCTCCGCATAGTTCACGCGGGAGAACCACTCCATTAGGTCTCTCCGCCCAAACGTCCCGTCCAGCGCTTCAACATGGATTTCTCCATATGTTTTGTGGGACGGGTTGCAGTGCCCGGCCATTCCCTCAAGCAGGGTACTCTTCCCGTCTCCGCTCAGCCCAATCATCGCCACCATCTTTCCTTTCGGGATGGACAGCGACACGCCCTTCAGAATGGAAACCCCCTTTTTGGTTTCTAGCCCATAATTTTTCATTTCCAGAATAAGCCCGGAGGAGTTTTTGGCCTTTTCTGCGCCCCCCTCTCTGCTATCTTCGGGTTGGGCGGTTGCATATATGCTAGACCCGCTGCTGGCATGGCCCTCTAGAGGCGCGTTCTCTTTTTCTGGTGTCCTAAAGTCTTTTCCCATATTTTAAAAACATTTCCTGTATTTATGCTTTAAATCTGATGATATTCTAAGGCCTGCAATGCACATTAATATATGTTTTTTGATTTTTAACAAAACCACGAATATTAGTGTTTTTGGAAAAAAATCCTTAATTTTATCTAGAACTTTGCACAGGCAATCTGTTTTTATATAGGACTAGTTCGATTTATTGAATAATTTCCTGCGCACACAGCTGTTTCCAGCATTCAATGGCGCTTTTGGGGACTCTTTGCAAAACTTGCAAAAATAAAGAATAAAAAAGAAAAATGGAAAGACACTTCCAAGTTGCACATTCTCTTCGCTCTTCATCCGCTCCTTTCACCTGTCTGCCCCGCAAGCTCCTTTGCGGTCTTTCGCAGATGTGCTTCTTTCCTTCCCTTGCGCTCCGGGCGCATTCCATTACTCTCAGTCTGGGCTTACATGGTCACGAAGATCAAACAGCCCTAGCGAGCGGCCTTTTTCTTCGCCGCAACTAAAAAGGGGCAGGAATGGCACCCAAGGAGGCACGAAGCCTGTCCAAAAAGCGTCGCTTTGTGCTGTTTTTATATAGTTTACGCAAATATTGGGTACTGTGCGCTGAATGCAATGCTGAAGTTGGCTTTTGCAGAGCAGAAATGCGTCTGGCCTGGGCAAGAACAAATGCAGTGTGCAATGCCTGCACGGTGGATGCCTAAACACGCGCCGATGTGCGTACTGGGGTTCTGGAAACAACAATGCTTCAGCCTGCGCCTTCCAGACACACCGCTTGAAAACGTGTTGTTCACCTCTGGGAGAAGCCATATGGTTTGGCAAGGGAAGTTTTATGTTAGGGGTGACTCTCCGGCCCTAAGATTTTAGAATAGCAGGCTATTTAGTTCCGTCTGAGCGCGCAAATGCGTGAGGAGCTTTGCATGATGGCGCACACAAAAAAGCAATGCCAACGCATGTAAGAATGGGTTAGGCCGCAGCAAAATCTCTGCGAGCCTGTTGCTAGTCCCGCCCAAAGCCCGTACACAGGCTTAGCGCAAATCGATGGAGATGCCGGCGGGGCTTTGGCTTTCTGGGCTTTTTTCAGCGCGCCTTGCGTTTTGGCTCAGTAGGGCAGGCTTTGCGCTGGCACTTTATCAATTATGATGCTGCACTCTTTATTGATTTAAAAACTATAAATTGGGATGAGTAGAAGTGTTATTTTTGCAGTTTTTTTGGGCGGCGCAGCCTGCACACGCAGAGCGCATGGGTTCCGGGCGCCCAGGAAAGCGCGCTGGCCTTCCGTGATGCTTGCCCATTTGGAGAGGGGGCGTGCTCTGCATAGATAAAAAGCGCCGCCGGCAGCTGGTGGCGCACTGCGACTTGTACAAGTATGCAGGCGTTTCAAGCATGCGCAGCCAAAAGCCAGAAAAAGCAAACCCCATTCTAGTGGGCATGTGCGCATGAAAAACCGCGTCTTTTTGTGGGAGCGCGCAAGTGGCGCAGATGTTGCAACCTTGTTTACGCCTGCCTGCAGCCTCGTGGGAAATGCAGCAGCCGCTTTTCCACAGAAAGGTTGCACACCTTTTTCTCTCTCCATCGCAGCGAGAAGCTCTGTTGCATGTAAAAGAGCCAGGCTTCCGTGCGCGAACAAATTAAAAAAATGGTTTTTTAAAATTAAATGAGGTTTCTTTTCCTGCTTCCAATGTTGCTGGCGCTAAGCAAGGGCGCCGCGCGCCTGCCGCTTGACGTGCTAGTGGACGCGCACAGCGCGGTGTTTGGCGAAGAGGCGGTATCCATAGACCCCCGAGGGCCACTCAGCCTTTTGCGCGGATATGTGTATGCCCAGCAAGGATATATGCACAACAAAAGATTCTTTTCCCCTGAGATAGAAACAAGCTACAGCCTGGGCTTTAGCGCGGAGGGCGCGGGCGTGCCAAGGAGTGTGTTCAAGCGGCAGGCAGAGCTGGACCGGGCATACCCTTCAGAAGGCGCCTGCGCCGAGTCCGAGTCTGCCCGCAGATACCATAGCATGCTTGTGCAGATGTTTCCATCGGGCGCCGGAAGCCTTTCCATTTGCTCCGGCCGGAAAGACTCGCTGTATAGGTTTCTTCAGAGCGTGTGCAGTCAGACACAGGCGTGTTACGTGCTTGCCGCGTTGCTGCTGTTGAGCGAGGGCGAGAGCGTGCCTATTGAGGCGACGCAGAAAAGCGTCACACTATGGAAAAGCTGGGACAGCAAGGCCCAGTTTGAAAAGGCAGCCAAAGGGCAGAAAGGGAGCAGCATTGGCCCCTATGCGGTTTTCCATCTAGACACCAGGGCGGGGGACGAAAGGCACTCGCGAAAAGAGGTGGCCCAGGTTGTAAGGTTTTTTCGCCAGCATCAAGCGCAAGCCTGCATGCCCTGCACGCAGGAGGAGTTCCAAGCCGGGGCGTTTTTAGACACTCCTCAGTTTCTTATACAGGCGTATGTCTTTGAGTACATATACAGCAAGGAGGATGCGGTCGAGCTTGCAAGATGTGCATATGAAATCCTGAGGAACCTAGGCCAGAGAATGGATGCAAACGGCGGCACGCTTCGCACGTATTTTGTCTATGCTGGAGAGAGAGGCCGTGCCGAGGAAGACCTGTGCATGCTCCAGGAGGCGCAAGCAGCTCTAGAAAAGCTGAGGTGGTTCCCGCTTTCGAGCTTGGATGCGCACAAAAGCGCGCCCTTATATGACAGACGCCTTGGCGCGTTTTCCAAGGAAACCTTCAGCAGCTGCGTGGAAGCGGGGCTGCTTTTTCTGTTTTGCTGTCTTGCATTTGACCCCGAGAAAAAAAAATACAGCGCCAGAAAGCTGCTGGGCAAGCAGTTCCACGAGGCCGCTGCGTGCGACTTGCGGGGCTTTTTCTGCGCTGGCAAAAGCCCCCAGGAGCAGCCCGCTCGCAGCCTGGCAGCAAAACAGTGGCAAAAGGTGGTCTCAGATCTGCCGTGCGGAAGGATAGCGTATTGCAAAGGCCCCCCGAACAACGAAATGCGCACCGGGCTGCTGAATGTGCTGTACGCGGTCGCGCGGGTGACTGGCAGGCATGCAGAAGAGAACGCGCAGATAGACGCGCTTTTGGAAAAAGTAAACAGCAAAGAGGAGTCTCCGCACGAGGCGTGTGCGCATGTAGCGGCATATGCCAGCAGGCTGCTGTGTCTGCTTTCTGTGAACAAGCAGCTGAAGGTCGAATTTCAAGACATCAGAAAAGGCATGCGGAAGGACGGGGTGCAGGATGTCTTTGGGTCTGTTGTTCTGAAGTATGCGGGCAAAGACTGCAAGGACGTGCAGGGTCTGCGCTTGGACTTCTTTCCCGGGCATCTGAGCACTTCCCTGCTGCAGCCCAAGATCTGGCTGTCAAGCGAAGAGCTGTGCAGGCTTGCCGCCGCGGCCTCTGCGTGCAGGCGCCAGAAAACCTTTGTTGGGTTTTTGTTTGCCGAGCACATAGACGCTCTGGCCGCAGGGCCTTCTCAGGAGAGCGAGCAAGACGAAGCGCACAGAGTTGCAAGGCTTGTGCAAGACGCAGTGCTGAAGAGCCCAGGCAAGCTGAACGCGATTTTTATGGGGGGCTGCATTGCAGAGCCGTCCTGCAAGAGCAGCTTTGCCCGCAGCCTTTCTCTGTACGCCAAGGGAGAGCGCATTGCGCTGACTCGAGCACACCCTATTGTGCGGCTGATTTCCAACCTTCTGGCCAGCGCCTCGCTTGACAACTGCTCGGTGCAATACAGCATGCTGGTGGCGCTTGCGTGCACATACGGGCTGGAGGTTCTGCGCCCGAAGGTTGTGCTGTCGCGCAGCAGGGAGTCCTTCTTCTTCAAGAGCCCGCAGCTGCCCGCGTGCATCAAAGGGCACACACTTGAGGGATATCCAAGAGCTGCGGAGATTCTTCTGGGGTACTTCCGGGCCTACACAACAAAGGCAGAGCATGCGCTGCACCTGAGCAGCGCGCTGTCTGGGTGCCGGGCTGTGTACAACGTGTTCCATTGCCTCTCCTCGGACCGCACAGGCGGGGCGGCGGAAGAGCTCTCTCGGATGCTTTGCAGCCCGGGCGACAAAGGCGTGCCAGAAGACGCTCTTGCGCTGAAAAGCGCGCTGTCTTTTGTGTGGTTCAGCATTTCGTGCATGCAGCGCGCAGACAGCCCCGAGCTGGTTCTCCGGCTGTACCGCGCGATTGACGTGGGCACGCCTGTTGCGGGCACGCTGGACAGATTTGACCATATGTACGACGGCAAAAGAAAAAAGCACACTGTGCGCTACATGGAAAAGCACAGGGCTTCCCTGGAAAAGGCCGGCGGAAAAGCAAAGTTCGCGGAAGTCCTGGAGGCCTTCTCTGGCATACGGCCTCCGCGCGCGCCATGAGGGAGCAGCGCTTCTGCCCAGTGGCAGCCGGGTTTCCATGCAGCCTGTGTGTCTGCGTTTTTGTTCCAAGAAAAAATAAAGTACTATACTATGCTTCCAGAGTTTAGAGCAAAGAGGCCGCGCAGGCAGGCAGCAGCTGCGTGCACAGGAGCCGGAAGCAAAAGCCCGGCATGCGTTGGAAGAGCTGCTCGTGCATTTTGCGCTTCTTGCCCAAACAAAAAGTGCAGCACTCTGTGTTCCCACGCGGTCTCCCATCGCAGTACTATCAAAGCTGTCACGCGCTTAACTTCAGAGATCGAACGGGTTCTGGTGTGAACGCGAGCATATGGCCGCACGTTTTTTGTCTGTGCTCCGGGACCGTGTGTGCTGGCGCTGCGCAAAGCAGAAACATGGGCGCGCAAGCAAGCTGGAAAGCTGTGCGTAGGAAGTCAATTAATAAATCTAGCTAGTTGAATAACCCGAATAACAACCCGAATTAACAATGCATTGAATTCGGGCTTCTTCTCTCTGCCGGGCATGGCTG